GTGTTCTCGAGTTAAAGGGAGGACCCAGTATGGCCGGTATGAAAACAAGCCAAAACTTCTCATTCGTCGGTAAACACTTCGCATGCCAATAGGTCTTCCGTCTTAAGGCCAATAATCTTAGGCAGCGATCTTCACGGTCTGTTGTTCCACGGCGGCGTCCAGTGCCCCTTGCTCTTTGCGTAACCACAGTGTCTACACTTCTTTGCACTCTAACTGCAATTGCCCGAAAAGAAAGTCCAGCTTCCCGAAGTCCCACTAATGTCAAGAACCAAAATCCGCCAACGTTGATTCTTTACTGCGGCTGAAATATTCATTTTTAGAGCGTTAGTGAATTAAAAAAAAGCAGTATAAAAACCGGAATGTCCAACTGATAAGGCTGAACATTTTTTCACTTGTTATTTATAGTAAGATAAATACATTCACCAACTTTTATTAAAATAAAACCATTTAAACTGGGTGTTCGGATTTATATGTCACTTAGTATATTTTTTACTTTACACTGATCTATTTTTCATGTTGAAAATAATAGTGTCATTACTTTTCTGATCGAGATAATCTTGAAAAAAGATGCCGTCAAGTAGGTTGACTCTGCACTTCGCACGCAACGTTGTCATCAGATCATAAACGTTTAAGATCGGCATGTATAACATGTATAACAAAAAAATGAGATGGATTAAGTTAGCCAAATGGGCCGCTCCATTATCTTCACCCATTTGATAATTCTAACGCAAGTTTATTCCCTGCGCTAAGTTTCGACCATCTGGCAACGATGCTGAACCACACTTACTATAGTAACTCGATAGAACGGGCGAAGACGATACCAAAATTACAGGATTCTTATCATTTAACAAACATCAAGTGAACATTTGATTTACTTGACTACGTTAGAGCAGCCCTGTACCATCCAACTATAGTCAACGCCAAACAAAGTGGCGTGCACGTCATCACGATAAAAATTCCCCGACCTAATGCCTAGGTTTCTATCACAAACAATTGCTCTATTGCAGTTTCATATTAATGTGATATATAAATTGTAAAATGGTCATTACTCTCTTATTATGGTTAATAGTCATATAAACATTGTTATTAAAATATCACATAAGTTGCTTTCTGATAAATTTAGACGCATTATGCGAAATAAAATGTTTTGCAAACGCTCCAATCACTTATCGACATGTAAACGCACTAAACCGATTTCGCAGCGTTGACATATTGTCACCTTGAAACTTATTTAAACTGGGAACTGACATTTGTATTAATTTTGACACTGAATCAATTTGTGGCATTTCAAATCTTTATAAATCCTTTGGCCCCGCATACTGTAAATCAACAACTGTTTGTTTCAAAACAAAATTATTCATTTTACGAGTAGATAAAGGCAATTTTGGTATATAAAGATGCCCAAACAGTTAAATAGTCGGTGTAAGGAACTCGTGGCCTCGTTAATGCACTACTTTGAGCAAGAAAGGGACAACAACGGGCCTTTGTTGCCTTTAAATGCTGTTCAAGAGGTAGGTTACTAATAATTATATGTAATGTATATTAATAATAGTGAAATTTTATTTCATTTTTTGTAGCGTGTTGCTGCTGCTTTAAAAATTAGTTTAAGGACAGTTAGTCGTATTTCCGAGGGTGTGAAAAGTGATGCAAATTTAGAATCGCCCAAGAAAAATCGGAGTTATATTAAACGTGTAACCAACACAGCGACATTGGATACAAGTGCCATTCGAGAAGTGATCTATAATATGTATCACAAAAGTAAGATCTTATTATAATAACTTATCAGAAATTTGCATTAATTTGTTAACTAAATTATAATGTCATATTACACATGGTTTCAGAAGAACAAGTTACGATACAAACTTTATGGTCTCGATTAAGAGATAGGGCATTATTTGATGGTAGTGCCACGTCTTTAAGGCGGTTGCTTAGAGATCTTAGATTTAAGTGGCTTAAGGACAATCCGCGACGAGGGCTCATGGAACTACCAAGTATAGCTTTGAAAAGGGTGGAATTTCTAAGGCAATACAATCAAGCCAAGGTTGAGGCCTTATACCAGTTTGTCTTCCTCGATGAAACTTGGATATTTCAAAATGGGACCATAGGTCGCTCTTGGCAAAATGGAAACCAAAAAAGCGTGAAAGCTATTAAAACAGATGGTAAAAGGTATGTACTTTTACACAATTTGCACTATAAAATTTAAAACTAATATATTTTAGATACATTATATTACATGCTGGAAATGAAAATGGGTTTATTGAGGGTAGTGAAGCGATATTTTCTTCGAAAACAAAATTGAGCGATTACCATGGAGAGATGAACCAGGACAATTTTTTGAAATGGTTTCAACAGTTATTAGAAAAATTGGAGAGTCCATCTATGATTATACTGGATAACGCCCCTTATCACAGCATGATATTGAACAAAGTGCCCAACAATGCATGGACAAAAAAAATATCCAAGACTGGTTGACAAATCAAAACATACCATTTTTAAACACAATGTTTAAAACAGAGCTATTGAGTATTGTTGCTCGGTACATAATGCTTCTTAATTATATATATTTTGGTCGACAGTTTATATTTCTTTTGTTTATTCCTATTCTTAAAATAACTGCTTTTTTAGAAACAAACCACCTAAAATATACGTGATTGATGAATTGGCGGAACAACATGGGCACAAAGTTCTTCGTCTGCCTCCTTACCATTGTATATTTAACCCTATTGAGTTAATTTGGGGCATAGCAAAAGGTTACTATAACAGACATATTGGTAGAGATGGTAACAGTGAAAAAGACTGTTTGGATATGTGGAACGAGGCTCTACAAACGGTTACCCCAGACATGTGGAAAAATAGTGTTCGACATACTGAGCAAGAAATTTTTAAATGGTATGAAAGAGAACGAATTTTTGATCGACCAGACATCGAACCTTTAATAATCAACTTTGAGAGTGATGAAGATTCAGATTCAGACAGCGCTGAAGAAAGAAACTCCGACTAACTTTATTGCACAGAAAAAGCTTACACCAGTAGCTTACCTAATTTTAGAATGCATTTTTCTGTATGAATTCTGTAAAATAAATACCATGCATAAAATTTGGAGGACCCCATTTGGATTTTTATTCAGTACCTTTAAGCTATCAATTAAATATGGTAGTTTCATAGTGTCATCTGATCAATAATTGTCATACTTAATGATTATGCAAGTACAGATCTATAATTTTATTATACTATTATTTTTGTTCTCATTTGAGGTTAATATTGCTTATAAACCTAGATATGTAAATAATAAATTATATTATTTTACAAAAATTTTGGCAACAATGTAAATTTTTCAACACACCCACCTTGATGACGTGCACGCCACTTTGTTTGGCGTTGACTATACTTCTATGCTCGACACGTATTTGGATCTAATTTTCCTGGCTTATCGCAACAGGAAGCCGATGATAGTGTTGGTACTCTCTACTGGACGGTGGAATGACTACGCTACCTCTAACCCTATCTTGCCACACACAAACGTGTTAAGCATAAAAGTAGTCGGAAACAAAACAGGGTAGTCAAGTATATTGGATATTTGTTCAATAATAAGCATTCTGCAATTATATCTATGTTTTCAAAGACTTCATTAACAAGACTTTTGTACTCCAAGGACAAATATCAATTATCCAATTTGTCTAGGTAAAATAGGTTTTGTAGCTAATCTCGATGAACGTGTTGACGGATTGTTTTTTCCAAATTATTTTTCTCAGATGTAGTAGTGACTCTTATTTTTCAATAAATGGTTAGTAGTTAATTGCTCTCATGTCAATCTAGGTATTGTATCAGGTTTGATTCATGTTTCGAGCAGGCTAAACATCTTCTTTTCGATTTGTTCAAATCGCGTCTAGGTCACAAATTTTGATCCTCTCGGCTCAATTAAATCCGGCCTATATGGAATTATCTTTGTATAAAATAACTCCTGAATGGCCAAACAGTACTGGAACGAGAACGGCATATAGTTTTTCAGCTGAACGATCAGGATTTCTAAAAATATCTTTTTTGAGGCATTACCATTATTGCAGTAGGACTTCTTCCGTGATAATTTGAACGAATGATACCCTAACCGGTTACTATGCTGTCGACATTTCGGTGATCAGTCCAATTTTATACTGAGTATACCGGGATGTAAGGGATATATAGGTGTAAGCTTACGTCCATTTTAGCCATGGAGAAATATTGGAATTCTGTACTCTACACTCCCACAGTAATTTCAGCTTACACCTGCTGCATTTTCAAATAATACGAGTATATACTAATTTTGACAGTGAAATGAATTTATAATATAATATATCGTTATAATGTGTTATTCATTAAGAAAAAATGGTAACTGTCAAGGATCTGAAGTAAACCGCAAACAATGGCTGCCAGTTATTTATGAGAATAGGGTTAAATCATTTAATAAGAGCTACGTATAAAATTCGATAATTTATTTGATAAGCATAGCAAATTGAATTTTATATAGTGAAAATTTAATATTTATATTTTTACTTCTGTACGATGTACGTACCTTCACATTTTTATTAATCCTGACACCAACGCTTAATTGGATCTTTGTTTTATCTTCAACGAATTTTGCAACGCTAATATGCATTTAGCTTGGCAAGGTTTGACAACACAAACTGACAGATTTATAGCATCGAATTGAAGTTAGCTGCCACCGCACCCAAGTACACAATCTACATTAGGACGTACAGAAAAATATCACTGGTGCTATAATTATCGTTTCACCTTACACACTTACATAAACTTGCACACTGTAAAATCTACAGTTTTAATCTTATTCACAAAATTTTTGATTCTTCTATACTTCAGGAATTGTCAAAAATTATTACAAATGGAACTTGATCAAAACATGGCTGTACTTGTAAAATAGTCATTTGGCATATTCTGAGATCTCAAAACACCATTACCGTTTATCAGTTCAAAACGTTACACCATAGTTTTTCTCTCTTTTTCAGGTTACACCCAGGACTTTGGGTACGATGGAACTTCAGGTAAAGCGCCAAATCATCCAATTCAGTACATCTCATTTTTGTAGTAATATGTCGTAGGTCCAAACTTTTGGGGTAAAACGTTCCATAACTGTGTAGGGAAACACCAAAGTCCTATTGACATTGAGCTTACTGACGTCAAAGTGAAGAAGTTCCCTCCGTTGAAGTTTGAGAACTTTGACATGGCTTTGGAGAAAGTGATTTTGAAAAACAATGGACATACAGGTAACTTGTTTATACAAAGACGGATTGGAATAGGGCCGCTAGTGCGGTTTGGATGTTGTTTTTTGAAAATAAATTCACTAACGTTACTATCCTTGACTATGGTAGCATACCATATCTTCAATATTGGAATGAATTACTTTATCAGCAGCAGTAATGAGCCAGACCACGATAAGAACAGTTCGTATATTTTAAATATGGTTTCAGCCCTACTTATGTACTGCTGAAGGCTGAATAATGTGAGCATACGTTATATACGAATTAAAATTGTAAAATATTTAGGTCCAACATGTTGCTTCATATGTAATAAGTGTGCATGTAGTTTGTTTATTTGTATTTAATTAACATAAACAGCGCTTTCATTATTGGATAAATCATTTTTTCAATATACTATCCTTGTACAGCTAATAATGAGATTCTGGAAATTATTCATGATGTAAGTATATGCAACTGATAAAGACATCTATCATCATGGCATAAAGTAATACCAGAGCTTTTACAACATCACTGATATTCTATCAATATTATAACTAAGAAATTGTTTCAGTTGTGTTAACTGTAGCTGAAGGTCAACTGCCATCAGTAAGCGGAGGTCCCTTGGAAGGAACATACTTGTTTGCACAACTTCACTTCCATTGGGGCAAAAATGACTTGGAAGGATCCGAGAATTTGATCAACAACCACAGGTGAGGAAACATTTTTTTGATATCGCGTACACAGAAGTACAGCGACCAATGCTTCGCTGCTAGGATAAAGAGCTTCAACACATTGGCTGCCATGTTAAACACCAGTGATGATACAGAGGCACGGTTTGCTCGGAGGCCACGTGACTAACATTTGTTTCACATGCAGTATACTTCTAAATTAGAGATATATCCGCTTGGCCTGTGAATTAAGTTTAACTACTTATACTGTGGCATACTGATAATATATACACCTTCGGAAAAAACATTATTATACATTATGATGAGGAAGAGAGATGGAAATATACAAAAGTATGTAGGTGCGTGAAAGACACTTTGTAGGATCCTATCTGGCAGCGTCGGAGTGTGACGGACAACGGGGTAAAGTAGAAGAGTGGTAAAAGAGAGATGGCAGAACGGGCGCTAGCGCCTGCCGCTTAGACGGATGCGCTCAACAAATGCGATTTGTTTCTCCCATTCGCAGAGTTGCCGATACCAATATGTCATATTTCTAAGAAATCTAAGTCTACCCAAATTTCGGGAAAAATAGCTGCGGATTCCACATAAGAGTATTCCAAAAATGAAAAAAGTTCAAACTATTAAAATTGTATTAATGTTTCATGGTTCAAATAATATTTTTCATGTTTGTATATTGTTGTATAAATGATTTTGTAATCCCTATTCTTGTTGCCAGTAGAGATACAACAGTATTGAGGGAAATTATGGACCGCTAGATAGGGCTACAACTACCATATGACTATCAAATAGTAGTGATAAACAGGGTTTGTTTATAGCACAGTTGCCTGGTGTGACGAATTTGCGCCATAGGGGCGATTTGACAACTTTGAAGGACAACTATAACGGGTACTATGGTGCCCGGTATTCGGGAATCTGGCAATACCTGATAATTCCTAACGTTTATTACGCCAGATTTTTTGCTGACTTGCGCAGTACAACATGACAATCAACGTGACTGAGCACCTGGTGACCCTGGTTTAAGGTGTATTTAAAGAGCTTGGGGCAGTTAGGTATCTAGGTCACATTTTTTAATGTATTTCGAGAAATCCGTAATGTTGAGTAAATACTAGATCACGTTTCTTGCTTAGTTTGCTGAAAATTCTACAATAGACGTACATTTTGAGAACCAGAGATTTGGTGACGACAAAATTGTAAAAATATAACGCATTTTCGTAAAATAATTTCTTTGTTGAAAAGACTGTGGCTTGATGACCAATTGAACGAGGATAGTGTCCCGCTCCGCTTTGAATATTCGAAACAGTATACTCCAGCAGCATTCAGCTTCAATGTTATCTTTATGAAGTTCTAACGTCTAGGCCATGCTGATTAAAAGCTTGAATGAATCAACACTTAACTCTAAATTCCCCACAATTCGGGAAGCTCTACTCAAATTGGCAACACAGCGTATCTGCCTATTATTCTCATTCGTGATACAGGTCTGCGGTCTGCTGCAAATTTCAGTATGCGTTGAGTCGATAGAAGAAGTACAGTAGATGCGCGCATTACGCACCAGTTCGATTGGACGTCCTGTGAACCGATTTCGGTGATTTCGAGATTTCTCGAAATCACCTAAATCACTCTACTTATTTTTATGAATGGATAATTGGTTTTGTAGCAATAAAGGTTGCGTCTCATAACAAAAATAAGAAGATACCCACTCTAACAAAAAATAGTACACTCTTAAAAATGTGTAACGAAAATAAAAAGATATTCTAACAAAAAAATAAGTTCTCAAAAATAAAACGCAATAATGAACACAAATGTTTCAAATGGCCCTTCACAGCTGGGGCTCAAAAACGTCTCCTTCATTCAATGAACAGTATGTCAGGCGGTTATAAAATTCCCGACGAACTCTCAAGAGGGTTGAAGGCTGTATTTGCCCGAGCGCTTCAACGATTTTCACCTGTAGGTTATGCAAATTGTCTGCTCTCTCATTGAAAGTGTAAACAGTACTTTTCACATAACCCCACAAGAAAAAATCATTGGGCACTAGATCGGGTGATCTAGGAGGCCATTTTATTGTTCCGTTACCGCCAATAATCCGGTGGCCGAACACACTTTCAAGGTAAGTGTGTACGATCGCCGCATTATGCGCCGGGCATCCATCTTGTTGGAACCAAATATTAGCGAGATCAATGCCAAGCTGCCTAATTGCAGGAACAATCTGCGTCTGTAGTAACGCCAAATATTTTGCAGCCGTAAGAGTTCCATCAATAAAGAACGGTCCGATAATGTTATTACCTAGAATTCCTGCCCACACATTCAGTTTCTGTGGATACTGCGTGCGGACGGGAATACTGAGGTGTTTATTTTCCCGAGACCAATACCGAACGACTGAAGGATTGTGATGACCGTGGAGAGGGAATGTGGATTCATCAGTAAACAAAATGTTACTAATAAAACTTCCATCCCTGTTCGCCTTCTCCATGACCGTTTCACAAAACTCCATTCGACGGTATTTGTCTAAAGGAAATATTTCTTGAACCGTTCCAACCTTGAAGCTATGATAGCCGTTGCGATGCAAAATATTTATTGTTGTTCTGGGTGTGAGATCGGCTATTGGTACCATTTCAGCAATTTTTCTGCTTGAGCATGGCTCAGATACTTCTGCAGCGGCACAAACAGCAGTTTCGATCTCCTCCCTTTTCTCGCTAATTTTTGGTTTCCAACCTTCAGGGTGCATGCAGCTATGGCACTTATGTAAGCAGCCCACCCTCTTGAATTTTTCGTAGGTATTTATAACCGTTGCGTGAGACGGAATTGGCCGATCTGGGAAGCGTACCGCAAATAATTCAACAACCGCGCGTGCTGAATTATTCTGGATGTACCATTCTATCATTTGAAACTTTTCTTCTTGCGAGTACATTTTTAAGATATTTTGGATTAAATAAAGACGCACCTTTCCTACACAAAACCCAACCGCAGAGTGAGTCATGAATCCCTTATTGCACTTGACAACGGCACGCGCATTAACGGTAGGAAATATGTATGTACGAATAGCGATGAAAGTAGACGAGCCGATGCGCTGTTGCCAAGAAATGATTTCCCATGTATAACAATGGTTTTTCCTAAGTGTATAACTCATTGAATGAGACTGGTTGCCTACCTTTGTAGGGTAAATTTATGACTGCACTTTTACTATATTTAGGTATACAGATTTTGCGGTTTATGGGTTATGAGTGCACAGCTAAAAAGAAGGGAAATCGTGGGGAAGGAAAACACTACAGAACTCGTTATAGGTAAATGAAAAAACAAAAGGGATGTTCCGTTCTTGAGAACTAAGCACACGCTGGATATAAAGGCTACTGGGAAGAAAAACAGAAAGAGCGAGGAGGTAAAGAAACCTTCTGCCATATTAGAATACAATGGTGGTAAAGATGGTATAGATGTTTCTGATCAAAAGACTAGCTACTTTTCCCCACTCCGAAAAACAATTAGATGGTATCACAACCCAATGTTCGAAATTCTCCTGAATACGGCTGTCATCAATTCTCTTAATATTTACAAGCACTTCAAAAAACAAAACATACAAATTGGTGCTTTTAGAGAGATGTTGATTGAGAGCCTTACTCAAGTTCCAAGTGTCACAGCAAATGAAGATAAACATAGTCTGATCAGTACAGAAGAAAGAACATCAGACGGGAGAAAGAAAAGGAAGAGATGACTTTCATGTTATGAGAAAAAGGCCAGAGAAGGAGGTCAAGTTGTGGGAATGAAACAAGCTAAATTGGTCTCTACCCAGTGCTGGCAATGCAATATTCATTTATGTTTTACTTCTTTCACTGAAAAACATTAGTTTTATTTTCTATTTCTTCTGTGATCACCGGTGATACAGATGGACACTGGAGAAATACCGATTAACCTAGATGCCATGAGTATCACCGGTGATTTTAATTTTTTGCAGAAAAAAAACATCTTTTTTTGAGTTGCTTATACGTTTTTTATGTCAATAAAGCTTTCGTAACCATGCTTTTGTGATGTTTGGCCTCTAATAAATGGAAATGACCCCTTATGGGGGCAGCCAAAGTGTTACTCTGTTAATCCAATTTTTGAACTGCCTAAGGTTAGTAGAATCAATCTCAAAACCTTAAGGATAAAGGAGCGGCCAGTTCCGGATGTGTGTATGTATGTTCGACACGGGTGGGAGAGAAGGCAGGTCTGTCTGGCAGGCTCATCGCCCTGATGCATCATGGAGAAAAGCTCTGAGAAGCAAAAGTCGTTGACATAGCAGTAGAAGAGGGCCACATTGCCGATGACCCTCTGTGTGAAAGGGTCTCCAGATAGTCCGTTAGAGAAGAGTCATCGATCAGTCGGACAGCCCTCCTCTAAACATCGAGCATTGATAATAGCTGTCCGGCTATAAATTGACTCCCCCTCCAGCTTTCTTATATCACCTTCCAGAACAAAAAGTTGTATACAGGGTTATCCAAATTAAGTGTCCACCATTAGTAACTTTGTTATTAGTGAAAATACAAAGTTGTTTGAATTAGCAAACTAGTAGCATTTTTAACGCTGGTAAAAATGAGAAATAAAAAAAACAATTGAGAGTCGTTATTTTGATTTTTTTCAGTAAAATAACATTTTTTTAAATGGAAACCCCTGTATATTATATTTTTTTCTGTTAAAGCATCAAATTTTAAACAAAAAAGCTTACAATAACTTTTCTCCTAGGTTACAAATTGTTGAAGTTATGGCCTCCAATCTGAAACAATTAAATTGTATCGACAAACTTTATTTTCAACATCAACTTATAATCTTACAAAATACAATAACAATTTTTTTTAAAGAAGATGCTCGAAAACACCACCTTGTTCGTCAATACATTTTTGGGCACGTTTTTCAACTGCTCGAACTGTCTTAAGTATGGTCCTACCATCTATCTGGGTTATCTTTTCCCTAACTGCAGTCTTTAACGCGTCAAGGTTATCGTACCTTCGCTTGTAAATTTGGTTCTTTAAGTAACCCCACAAGAAGTAATCAAGTGG